TCATGCGTATCGGCGATATCAGACACGTAATTGCTAGAGTCAAGCCAGAACTACTCGCGATGATTAAGTCTATGCGTTTAGGGGCCGTAACGACGAGAACAATGGCGATCAGAAGGCTTCAAGACGCGTCCGGAGATGTCCCAGACGATATCGACTACGAAAGGTGCGCGGGCTGTCTATCAGGGCTGAAATACTGGAACGTTCAAATCCAATTGCATCCGACCTACTATATCGTGGTAGCGGGAAAGATCAAGGAGTTGATGGGTCGCGATGTGGAGGTCACTTTTGGTTCGACGGTGTAGAGCTATATCTAGGTATTAGTTGGAGTACAGGTCGCCTTCGCGTTCTCGAGTACCTATTTATGCAGAGATGACGACCTTCTTATGTTTTAAATGGCTTAGCAGGGTATCATAGCCCGAAATATCGGAGTGAATGCGGAGGGCAAGCGAGACAGCCACGTGCACTAGCGCGACCTTGTACCATAGGTAACAACCACCCGGTCACACTTGACAATATCTTTCTCTTTCCCACTCCAGTCACAACAAACAAACTCTCCGCCTGATTTCATTACTGCGCAAACTCATTCGTGAAGCGACAATGGATTTCGACAGCATGTAAGAGACAGCGACAGTGAAGTGTCGACTGCAAACTGACAAATTACAACAGCACCGCTGCGAACCAGCGCAACTCACCTCTTCTGCGCCTCCCGGCTGAGATACGAAACAAGATCTACGCTTACGCCTTTGGCGACAACTATGTATATCTCACTCAGAAGATTATCCGCCGCGACTTCCTACGTCCTAGGATCCCGCCTTACCCGATGAGCTTAGCGCAAGCTTGCACTCAGTGCCGCCACGAAGCCCTTCCTTACTTCTGGCAGAACACCAACTTTATTTTTATGTACGACAGAGTGAGCACTCTTGTTCGCCATACAAGCCAGAGCTTGCGCGATCAAGTCAAAGTTGTTTGGCTTTCGTACGGCGTTGTTCGTTGTCTTTGGCTGAGCGAAAACCTTCACGAGAGAGCGTTTGCTGGTGTGAAGAAGGTCGTTTATGGATTCAACCCGCACGATGGCAGATATGTGAATGAGGAGTTTCTGAGGAACATGAAGAAGACTTTCGGAGAGGACGCTGAACTTGTTGATCGAGACGGCAAGAGCTATCTAGCGGAGTGACTGAGCATATGATCAGAGGGAAGACCTTGAACAAGTTCATTGTAGTTATTATGGCGGTGCATCTAAGGCCTCACTATACCCCCAAGAGCTAAAAGTAGTTCTCATCAAGCAGACTCAACATCAACAGTATACGTCCTATCATGATAAATCCTCTTATCGTTCATCGGCGCCGTGCTCTTATCCGACGCGCCATCGTGTATCCTCTCCCAAGCATCCTGATCGCGCCCATGATGCACAGCCGACAAGCTGAAGCCATGATCCGAGGGGCCATGGTAGCTGTCTCCTCCTCTTTGTCTGCGCGAGCGGCCGCCTGCAGTGATGGTTGTAGCAACGCGGTGCTTGCTGTTCGGATCGGTGCTGTTGTCGCGTTCGTTCTGGAAGTAGTGGCGTAGAGCTGGGAGGGAAGATGCGAAGCACCCGATGCCTGTTTCGACGTTCGAGCAGAGGACGATGTGGGCGACCCAGAAGGGGAGGTTGGTCTGGGACTCGAATTTGTTGACGAAGGGGATGCGTATCATTGTGATGATTGACGCGCTGGTGTTGTCAGTGACTGTTCGTACTGCTTTGATGGTTGAGGACTTACAGGGAGGCGAATGATAGCAGCCCGAACGCTTGGAGCTTCGATTGTCTCTTCATCTGTGTATTCCATAGGATGATAGCCGGCACGACGACAAGGGCCATGTCGGTCAAGATGGTTGATACGGTCGCAGTGTGCGCGATGATGAGGAAGGTCTCCGCAGAAGCGCATTCTCCGTCGCCACTCATGATCAATGCCGGAGTCCCTGTAGATATTAGTTAGTCTTGTTCGACCCGTACATTGCAAACCTGGGATACTAACACAAAGCGCGCACCGGCTGGCAGTAAGCTAACGTCCCAACAAAGGTAACGAGGAAAGAAGCCCACGTGACAGCGAGGAGAACCCAAACGGTAATTCTCATAGGCTTCTTGATCGATGCAATTCGCCTGATCGTGATGCACACGGAGGACTTGACAGTCGCAAGTGCAACAACGTATACCAAGATCCAGATGAGGTAGTACTTGATGGCTTCGGACTGCTGCCACGCATTGAGATCCTCGTTCATTCTACCGAGACCAGCGAGACAGCCGTAGATTGCCAGACCCGTAACGGGGATGTATGCGATCTTTGATGTTACGTTAGTATAGCACTGGTCAAATACCAGTAGTGATAACGTACCGTGCCAACAACCATGAACCCATCCTCCAAGCCGAATATCCTTTTCTTGATTCGAATATAAGTCCGCAACGCTACGGTAACGATAGAAAGGGCGAAGAAGATGGACGAGATGACGATGATAGCAAGCGGTAGACCATCTGGTGCAATCAGCCTCGCAGAAGGATCGACATCGTTCACGGGCGCCGCCATTGTGGGTTCAAGACGAATATGATCAGCAAAGCCCCAGAAAGAGTATGTGCCTGCATCTCGAGGAACCTGCTATTACTTTATACGACTCCGCCGACATTGACCGCACCAGCTCATACCCAGTTGAAGTGGATCATAACAAATAACCACCAAGACCCTCGACTCAGGCTGATGCACCCGTTCCTCTTTCGCGCCGTTACCATCCTCACATTTCCCTGCCCGGAAACGGGTGTGACAGCCGCGAACTCGACTCGCTGCAGGGTCTGGTGCGTCATCTTCGCACCGTGCCCACGTGTAGCGGGAGGAAACATGCAGCCGCTGCGACCAAGACGACGAAAATCCTGCTAGAAAGGAGAGCTATGCGTGCTATGTAAGTAATCTGACACGTTCTTGTATCCATACAGGCGACGCCATGGCGATGGTACCGAAAAACTAGCGGAGCGATCTCCCGCGCCGGCGATCAGGATGCCGGGTCTAGATGGTGGCTAGTGACCGCTAGTCGTGTCTCGAGACGGGAACCTGACTTTCCAGGTCGAATCGAGAGGTTGGAGAGCAGGTGAACCGAGGGGAAGGTCCGGACTTTTGGCGCTGGGTCAGATCGTGGGTTCGGGGCGAGGAGTTGCTGCGATGGAAGTCCACTTCCTGGACGGAAGAACCCGAACAGATGCGCTACAGTCTTCGTTAGTAGAAAGGCCAAGTTTTCCAAGATTACGAGGCAATATATAATTATCTAAATGGGAGAGTGCAAGCCAGTTCATCTCGAAGCGATGTTCAATCTTAATTCTTTAGAGATAGAGTGTCTTATGATCATGCCCGGTTATGAATGTGTGTTGCAGTCAACTGCTGGCGCATGTACGCCACTCCATCTTCTTCCCATTTCTACATGTAGTGATTTATCCGAGTGTCGCTAGCCTCCGAGGAATTCCAATCGCTTGTGTCCAGGATATGAAAGCTAAAACGCACCCATGACAAGCCAAATCAAAACGCTTGTATAGCTATCCTCGCCGGGTACAATACCGCAGTGCTCAATGCTACCATGCCTCGAGTGTTGACAATTCCTCCTCAGTCCACGTCTCATCATCTCTGAACTCAACTTCCAGACCTTTCGCGGATATATCTCGCCGCAGATTCTCCATATACCCGACCATCATATCTCCCCACGCGTAGCTATGCACGTAAACCTTCCGCAGCTTGGGAAACTCGTCCAGAAACTTCGTTTCATAGAGCTCAACCGCGATGTCATCGCATACAACCAGTGACGTTATGCGAGCGTAGTCTGATAGCTCACCGAAATGCATAAGATCCTGAATGCAATCGAAGGTTGTTGCGTCGATGATGCATTCATTCCAAAAGATGGATGAAGCTTCATGAAGGATCTGTCGGCAAGTCGCGAGGACGTAAATGGCTGGTTTGGTTCTTTCGCCCTCCGTGTAAGGCCGCCAAGGGTCTCTGATTTTTATTTCTTGACCAGAGAAGACATACTCGTAGATGCGATTGCGAATCTCTCCGGGAAGACGCAAGAGAGGCGAGTTAAGCTGGTTCTTACGCGTGCTAATATAGTCAGCAAGAAGATGTACACATGTACCGTTCACTTACATCTCATCGAGGTCTAGGGATTCGCATTCGCTTGCGGCAATCTCTACGTCTGTGGCTTTCTTTTGCCTGGACAAGGGTACCGTCCGAAGACATCGAACCAACCGGTTAGTGGACATTTGATTTGCCTGAAGGTGCTGGGTGTCGTGAAAGTGCGATGAGTCGTTTGGCTGGAATGAAGTGAGTTGACTGCGTGGAGTGAGACCGGAAGTGGGAGTTATAAATAAAGTATACAGGGAACACTCGTTTGGTACTAGCTCGACACTAATCGCCATTTACGTACCCGTGGACCTAGGAAGGCGCCTCTCACCATTGTGGAAGGAACAGAGGGAGCGATAGAGCCTTTGACGTATTGTTAGTGAAAGCGTTCCAGCATGTGACATGGGTAATCCCATGTTTAGGAAGAGGCAACAAAGCGCATCTGCGATAGCTCTGAACAGTGTAAAAACAAAGACGACTTTCACCAAACAAACATTTTCATGATGCCTAGAAGATAGACTCGACATCCAAGACGTTTTTCTCTATCACTTGTGCAAGACATTACATGAAAGATTAATGGACGGCGAAGGAGGATATGGACGCAGCGTACCCGAGTTGTTGCCTGTTCACCGAACAGTCAACCTTGGTACAGCATCTCGCTAACTTACAGCAGCCAACACGAATACGTTGCAACAGCTTCTGAAAATTGGTTAGCAAAAAATTGTAGGCCACTACCTGTCTCATCTCTTCACCGCTGACGACACCTACCGCTTCAACCTACCGTGTCACCACGCCAGCAACGACACAACCACCCTTCTACGCCTCACGCTCTCCCGCAAACACCACAGATTCGCTCTCGCCATGCTGTCGCAAATGCGCAACCACATCCAATCATGGTGGCAGCAGATACCCTTGCCAACAACCACAGCGACACCCAGTTTCCAGACATGGCATGATTTTGATCGAGGGCATCCAATGCCCTCAGTCAGCGGCAAAGGTTCTCAGCCTGGCATCAAGCACCAATGGGCGGGCTCATTCCGCCTCGTAAGCTGGAACGTGAACGCAGATGCACCGTTACCAAAGTCTCGTATGTCCGCACTACTGCAGGTCATCAAAACCACAGGAGCTGCAGATGTTGTTTTCCTGCAAGAAGTTTCAACAGAAGGTCTTGCAGCCCTGCTTGAAGATTCCTGGATACAGCAAAACTGGTACATAAGCGATGTCGATACCTCGGCTTTCGGAAATCAAAAGTTCATCAGCATCACCCTGGTGTCCAGGTTGTGGGTGACGACTGATGGTATCCAGCTAGGCGCTATCTGGAGAGTCGCATTACCTAGTCGTTTTGGACGAGATGCGCTGTGCTGCGATCTGATCCTCAACTCTTCGAGCAAGCAAACGTCAGGGAAAGAGCCTACACGAGTTCGCCTGATCAACGTCCACCTGGACTCGTTGCCAATCAATCCATCGATGAGGCCGCGTCAAGTTTCCATCTGCGCTTCATACCTCGGGGCTGCTGGTCGTGGGATCATCGCCGGCGACTTCAATTGCATTCTTCCGGAAGATGACGACCTTGTCAGTAACAACGGTCTTGCGGATGCGTGGGAAGAGCTTCATCCGAATGATCCCGGCCATACTTGGGGCGTGTACGGTGAACAGTCTTTCCCACCAAATCGGTTGGACAAAGTTGCTCTGTTTAACCTCAACCCTTCAGCCATGCGCGTCCTGCAAACGAGCGAAATGGAATACTACGGCGCAGAGACGTCGGCCGACGTAGCAGAACGGGGGTCAAATGCGCATTTCAGCGATCATTTGGGTCTCTGGTGTGACATTAGCTGGGCAGAAGACCGACCGCGGCAGGAACGATGAGGCGACGTGACTAGATGCTAAGACGGTCGGAGCTGGCAGTGTCAAAGTCCCGGGACATGATGGAAGCACTGTGCATAGGAGAGTAGGACGACGTCTCATGCCCGTCGGCCGACGGTGGCCCTCCAACACCGCCGACGCCCGTGAAATTTCGGGGTCGGCCGCCCGACATGCGACACCACCGTCAGACCAAGAGCTCAACATTGCCCAGACAGGCAATACACGTCGAAAACCATCGAAACCCTTCGGCATTGCGGTGCGACAGGCCCGACAGCCATCGGGGCGCCGGATTTGATGACGATGCGATGCCCCGTCTTGTCTGCGACTAGAAAGACGGGGCGATTTCCTGGATGTTGCTTGGCGAGACCGGCGGGTTTTGAGATGGGAGGACCGAGACCGAGATCGAGGGCGCGTTGGGGCTGGTTCGGCACGTGATGAGGGAACATGGACACGGTCAGTGTCGGCATCGTATCGCCGCCTTGGATATCTTCAAGGCTGACTTCATTTCACGATACTGGAGAACTTGGGAGGCTGGAAGGCTGCGCGATGCCGACACCCCAGGCACTGTCGGTTATCGCACGCTAGCCGATAAGACCGCCGACTTCACCGAAGCAGGAGGTCTTTGATCGATGCCGCAACGAGCAACGATCTGGATGTAGTTTTGCGAATATCAAACACGCGGGAGGGGATGAAGATCGCGTGAAAGTCTCTGTGAAGAAGTTCGGCTTGTATTTAGGTACAATCTTCAATCGTCTTTATTTTCATCTTGGTCACACATCGAGCTCGGCACGTGATCATCAGAGACATCGCAATCGCACCCTTCTCACTCAGCAGCCTTTCAAAACGCTACATGACAGTCATGCAATCCATCTTCAATAGCTTTACTATCGTTATCTCGAGGCCGGAGGCCGTTACAGCTGCTCGTTCCGGTCTGCCTTGTCCAATGAGAAGTGAAGCTGACCGAAGCGGCTAGTACGAGGTCCCTGCATGCAGGTCAGGTCCCGCAAACGCAGGGTCCAACCGGTTGTCGGCGAGAAGGAAAGTCTGGGGTCTCTTGACACACCTTCGCGCTCGCTCTCGTCAGATGCTTTACTCGAGCTGTCAAACGACGCGATCTACTAGCCATGACATTGACTATATCAACTCCAGCACCCCATGTAGATGCTAGAAGGAAGTCCAGAACTGAGAACCACAGCGATCTGACATGCTTGAACCTCCACCGCCTTCTCCACGCGACCTCAGAATAGCCGAACCTCGAGCATGGGCCATGGATCTATCCCCCGGCTCGGCTTCCCATCTTGGATGACACGAACATGTGGTTGGTCGGATTGGTTGGAAAGCACCGCCTCGCCTCGTCTTATCAGCTAATCCGGGGGAAGGCCATGAAGCATATCGGCGTATCTGCAATGAGCCGTCGGCCCAAGCTCCTGGTAAGAGTCAGAAGTGATGAGCATAAAGACGTGGTGATGTCCCGGGGGTTGAACGTTTGGACTGAAGCTATCTGCACTTCTATAACAGTGGACTTGAAGTACAACATATCAAGAAGACACGAGCACATCTCTCAGACTTACGATCTCGGTTTCCTTTTCGGAAGTAACACACCATAAGGTGAGTACCAAGTGAACAATAAGATCCCGCATACAGCTCCGTTGGAGCCACGACTACAATGCAGGGTCTAGAATCCACACTCCATCTTCCGCGGAAGCACAACCCACGAACGCAAGGGAGATCTACAGGGGAAGAAGCGGTCAGCTAACGTGTATATAGCATCGTTACACATAACAACAACTATCCAGACAGCCATCGTTCCGTCGGCAAGCATAGACAAGTGCAAACACCTGTCCAACGAATTCCGCCGAAACGAACACGCGTGATATCGAAAGATGTGCTCATACACATACTCGTGGTACTACTGTAACCACGATTACTACATCTGGTACGCCCATCCTTTCCCTTCCCTTCCTTCCTTCCACCTCTCCCAATCCCCATCACCCAAACCCCAATCTAACACCCCCACAGGGCCAACAGCATCGAAGTCTGTTCCTCGCGCCTCCTATCCGGCTACTCCTACGACGCCTGGTCCATCGACATGTGTTCCAAGATGAAGATCGAATGCGGCGGCTTCTCGAATTACTACTGCACAGACTGTTCAGAAGACGTGGCGTTGGAGTTTGAGCTGGATGAACTGTAGATGCGTGGATTGGATGGATACGCTTCACGTTTCCTTTCGGTTGATGGGGAAGACAAGCGGGTATGATAATGCAGGGTGAGTGAATGCGTGGAGTGGAGTGGATGCGCGGAGCCGGATTCCACGTCCGATGGGATATGGCATGGAGCTGACTTGTCCTGCAGGGCGATTTACACGTTGTGTCCGCGCTGCGCGTAGCGTTGTGATGGCACGCGTGCGCGTTTGGAGTAATTGGTCGAATGAGGCTCACCGCCTTGTTGATGCACGTCCTGTGCAGTCAGCCTCGTGCATGCTGCATGCAGCATCAATCCCACGCGGTACTTTCCTTCTCACGTTCTCGGCCTGTGTTTGACGCGCTATACCTCTCCGTTATATGATATGGGTTATCGGCGCACGCAGGCGCAATCGCCGGCTTATGAGCTTCGTTCGATTGGGGTTTCTTGGAATAGGCGTTCGGATTTATTGGGACCTTGGTCAATCTATCGGATACTGTTTGTATAAGCTCGATTGCAGTATATGATAATGCGCCATGCCGTATAGCATTGACCCAAACTTCCATCTGCCTTGTTCCTGCCTGTGATGTGACATCCAGTCCTCACTCTGTCAGACTGTCCTCTGCCGTCTTCGGGCTGACTCCGTATCCTTCCTCCAGTGTCCGCTTGACCTGCTCAGCTCGCCTCCTTGCATCAATATACATCATGAACTCCTGGTAGGTCCTTGGCATGACCCTAATGTTCTTCGGTACCGTGAACGTGTAGTTGAACTGCCCTGTCGGCTTGCTGTGGCCATGCTCCACATCCCGCACCTTTGAGTCAATCCTAATCTGCACTCGTGTATATTCGGCTTGATCGTCGACCTTTTCGTCCGGCGCGCCGATCAGCGGCGGGTCTGTGTATACGACTGTGGCCGTGAGGTATAGTATGCTGCCGACAGGCACTGGGTTTTGGAAGGTGGAAGGATCGAGGGAGACGAAGGTCGGGCGAGCGTGTGCGAAGGCTGCGGCGGCGGTGAAAGCGAGCTCGAAGGTCTGCTTGAGGAGAAAGCCACCGAAGATCATGAAATGATGGCGATTGCGGTATTGCGGTTGCATGATTGTGGCGGTCTGGAGACGCGTCGCATCCATAAAGACAACGTTATCGGGTTTGCGTAAGTCGTCGTAGGGGTCTGCGATTGTTAGTTGGGCGATGAGTGGTGGTAGTAATAGGACTAACCATGGTACTGCAACTGCTTTTGCCAGAAGGCGTGTATGAGGTCGCTTTCGAGGTCGTTCGGCGTATGCTTGAGCAAAGAGGTATCGCGGCGCTCCTTTCGCACCTTCGAGTTACGCTCACCTAGAGCATACAGGCGTTTCTCTTCGGGCGTTTCGACGATGAGAGGATTGACGTTTACGGGCCTACAGACCAGTTAGCTGCCAGAACGCTTACCCACAACAATTCAGCTGTACTTCTTAGTGCCAGGATCTAAAGAGACCATGGTGAAGGTGCAGTTGATCAAGACATCCTCGTCTTTGGTCTGCTCGCCCTTCTTAGGTGCTTTGGCAACCTGCATCGTGATCTCCAAACTGCTTCTGCCAGTCGCATAGGTCACGCGGCCAGATAGTTCTAGATCACATATCTCCGTCAGTGGGGAGTGAATGGTAATGCGGTCGCAGCTAGCCGTAACAGTAGTCACGTCGTCTCCGGTATGCTTGTACCTGTTGCAGCATTCAGACCAGGTCAGCTACTACGCGTAGCTGTTGAACGCTTACGCAATGATGCCAGAGAGAGCATCGAGATCCATGAAGATGGTTCCGAGCCGTATATGCCCTGAGGCGTTGAGATATGTGTCGAGGATCCATGGGTCCTGAGCCAGCGGGAGTACAACCGAATGGTAGCTCTCGCTCATACGTTTCCCTGTCAGCTTGCGATCTTTGGGTACTTCGGGCTTTCCTGAAGGCTCCGTAGGTTGTTTCCCCTCTGACTGCTGTTGGCGCAAGGCTTCTATCCATGGGGTGCGCACGCGCATCGACGTGAGCTCTCGAAATACGCCATCGGTGCGTCGCGAGGGGCTGCAATGAAGATGTCTTCGACCAATTGAGCCCGCGACTGCTACCAGAGACCTGCAAATGGCGTTTTGGGGCAATGCAGCTTGACTGACGCGCCGAAGCGCGTTGGTGGTGAGGCTCCTCATGTTGCGACGCGAGGTGGAGGTTGCAGGACCCGCGAACGCGCGAGGAAGCAACAACCCTCAGGGTGCTTGCCGAACCCATCTCTTGGCACCGATAACGATACATCACAATCTCAGACCCCGCCGCTTCACCAATCTCTGCAATGCTCATGTCGCTGCCTTCGCCTCCTCCACAGACCGGAGTCTGGTTGGACGACAATGTCGAGATCAATTGAGCTCGGGCGCGCAGTGCTCAGCTCGCCTGCCACCGATCACGAGCTTTGGCTCACAACATTCATCACCATCTCACCAAAACAGGATGCAACTTACTTACAGCAGCTAACCTCGGCCGAATACCTGGACGCGTTGACGTCCGGAACCGTATGGGCGAGCCGTGCACATGACATGCACATCGAAATTAAGCTTAGTCTACGCGACGAGCCTCTACCTCACAAGCAGTTGCAGGATCTCACAAATGCCATCCTTCAAGCGCCGGTAACTACATTTGCGCTTGCGTTAGGGTGATGTTGACAAAGTGCAGGTCTGGGATCAGTTGACGTTGGAGCCAACGCATCGAACAGATATCGCAATGGACCCCGGGACAATACGTCTGGACATCAACCACTCCTCAGTCACGAGTATGCAAGAAGGAAAGAAGCGTCACCGACTCTTCTCGGATGTTCCAGCGGTAGACATTCAACCGCCCAAGGGAATCGCGTCAGTCTCACTCCAGTCCGTACGCATTTGCATGGACATTCTCGAGGCAAGCCCGCGTAGGAGGCCCGCGGTGAAACGAACGACTTCGTCCCCGGGTGAGCGAAAGGTAGCGACTGCAGAAGAAGAGGACTCTGATACACTTCTGTACGAGATTGAACTGGAGGACGTATCACCTGCTGGACATATTCATCGCACGTCAACCGCTCCGAGGACTCCTGCGTACGGGAAACGGAAACGACCAGCTACTGAGGATGTGGTATCGACTCAACCCGTATCACTTGAACAGGCCGAATCATCGAAACGAAGGCGCAATCGACCGACAAACGATTCTTCGGTGCGGCGAAAGTCCCGCACGAATCCTAATTTGCCAGAACAGATAGAGATTGCCAGCATGGTCGATGGAGCGTTGCGTTTGTCGATTTCGGGTACTCTCAGCAAGGCCCCGATTGGACTCAAGGCCAAAGCGAGCACTTTCCGCCTAGGGTTAGCCGATGTTGCTCCTGCGATATGGAAGACCGGATACATAGTCGTGAGAGAAAGATGTTTCTCATTCTATGTACAGTGCTAACTCATAAGCAGGCATTGTCCCAAAGAGCTCATCTCCTACCTACCATCGCTTGTTCCATCCGCCGAATCGGGGGTGTAAAGGCAGCATCCATCTCGTTAAGAGACAAGATAAAGGACTTGAAGATGATGGCGCATCAAGCTCCGTCAGGTCGCTTAGATCCAACACTATCTGACACTGATTATGAGCCCACTGAAGCTGAGTCAGCAATCGCAAGCCATCTATGGTCACAGTCCCAACGAAGTCTTATGGATAAGCCCATGGCCCCGATCAAACCGTGTGTGGCGTCTATCGTTCAACAAGCCCAGCCAGACTCTGACGACATGCTCGCGGATGAGGAACAAGCGTGGCAGCCCACTACATCATTCCAGGCTGACGGCCTGCACGAGTGTTTTGAGGTTGAGTCGGCATTGACAGCGGGTCCCTAAGCGACCCAACAACAAGGGCGATCTCTTGACAGCCCAGGCTTGCTCTTCGATATTCGCGATGATGACGACCTGCTCCTCGACTCGCATTCCCCAGATGCAACATCGACCACAGCGTATCCAACAAATGAACAGCTCCATACGCCCGGCAGCCCAGCTACATACCCAGTCTTTACACCTGAGATGTATGTTCAGCAGTCGGGTGCCTCGTCATCTCAGGCTTTACAACAACTGTCGCAACAGCAGGCAAACGCCGAGCAAGAATTTTTACATCAAATGTCAGCTGAAGGTGACGTTGATCATACCGAGGATCTGCTGCTAGTCTCTTAGACACAAAGGGGTCGCACTTGGACTTCAGCTCACTAGCATCGTTGTTACAGGATAGAGTTTCGGCTGTATAGATTTTCGGCCGAAGCGAGCTAACAGCCGTTTCATTGAGGAAGGGCAGCATCACGTGGTCGTTGGTATGGCTCCGAAGATATTTATATCCGGTTACTCTAAATGTGGCTTTTCATAGTCGGCTCTGTTATTGAGCCTCACGGAACTACCCTGCGTTCCTGCATTCTGCCACCGGTTCTGAGATTGCATATGGGTCGACTTTGGGAACAATCACCCCATGGGCCTATCGTCGACCATCCATCGAGTCAGCAATGGGGTGATGCACGTGTAGGTAGATCACGGCTTCCAGGAACGCCCTTCGAAGAAACCGCCACAACCTCGCAACACGAAGCATGAATCGTGTACATAGACGGCCTTCCTTACTCCGGAGTCCTCCTGCACTCTAGGAATGCTTGGCTGGTGGCTAAAGCTGCACATCATCCTGCAGGACCTGCACTCAACAGGAAAAGGGCCTGTACATCTCGAGTTGGTCCCTGACGGCGTGCGCCTCCACAGAACGATTGCTCAACTCCGATCCAACTGCCGTGGCGCGGACCCGAAGAAACTTCGACTACCAGAACCCCTTCTGCACCAGGCAGACTGGTCTTGTTCGTATTTCCGGAGTGAACCGCGTGGCGTAAACAGGTCCGCCCAAACTTTCCTGTCACTCAACGTCGCCGATGTCCAATGATTCGCGTCCTCCGCTGCCGAGGTTGCACTAAGCGAACCAAGTTTTGTTTCGGAATGCAAACACTCACGAAAGTTACCAGATACTCAGCAGCCGGCAAAGCGAAAGCGGCTGCTGTATGTCGGAGGTCAGCGGCTCTTCGTGTAACATGCCTGCGAGAGCTGCGAGACGGCATGACATTGTTCTGCAGCTGTTGTACGCTCTCCAACGTCGACCTCTTCTCTGAACGTGATTCGCGCCCCACCAGCTGCACGGGAGGTGATCAATCTCGGCTATCGGGCACAGGCCGTGCCACGTCCTGAGAATCTGCGATCGGAGGAAAGCACGCTCAGTCTCCACCTCACTACTGTTATGTGCCGTCGTACCAACGGCAGGTTTGCGAGCATGGCGACACATGTCAAGTCGGCTCTTCCGAGTCTACCACTCGAACGGGCCATCGGGTTGAAGGCTTTGCATTTCGCAGCCGCCTCCTGGGTTTGAACATGGCTGGCTGTTGTCATGCTAATGGTATAGTCCTCTTTGATATACACGGCACGGCAGTCCCTACAATCGAGGCCTTGCAGCGCGGCGTTCGTCGCTTGCGCAGAACCATTGGAATGACAGGGCGCTTCGAGTCGAAAAGGTGCCTTGCGAAGATCCATCACCTTACATCATGGTGGAGACCGACAATGTTTCAGTCAATTAATGGTTGTTGTACCGATGCTCTGGATGTGCGGAACATGCCCAGAGCGTGTGCGACATGCCTATCCTGGCCAAATCACGCTTCATCAGCGTCAGCTTCCCCCCCGCGGAGACGCCCTCGTTGCCGTGTTGGCGTTCTGAATGAACTCAAATTACCACCCGTACCATATGTCTTAATACCCGGGATCAGTCGGCCAAGGTACCAGAGTTGAGTCTGCACGCTAGCTTCGCGATGACATCTGGCCCCGTTCTAGGCCGCATGGCACTCGCCTCTGGCCGTGCAGTCTCCGCGGTCATTTTTTGTCGCTTGCAATTCACATCCCGCTCACGAAATCTACGCTCGCACGTATTCGTAGGGGAAGCACGGTCCTTCGGAGATCCATCAGCCACATTTGTAACACAGCAGGAGACCATGGCCTGTTGGGGACAGATGCATGACTAGCGGGTCGCGTTCGCTGCGCGAGTGGCTAGAAGGTCAGGCCGAACGGGATTCGTGAACTTTGAAATTACTCGAGGCCACGCCGCGAAGCCACTACACCTAGGCTAATAGGCCCAAGCCGTATCAAGGTCGTTTGCATGAAGGGGCCAGAGCTGTGGCGTGGAAAACTGGATTGGCGCCATGGGCATCTCGGCATGGAGAGGGCGGAGCTATGTGATCGGTCCCAGCAGACGAGTGTGGAGACTTCGTGCGACGGGGTGTCGCTGTCATGCCTCCCGCACCAGACTAATCAGGCGCAAACTATGTCCTCCACTTCAGCGGACGTCTAGAAGGGAACACTACCCACCGGCGCGAGTTCAGGTACAAACGCGCAGAACCCTCTTTTCAGCGGTTACCCCTCCGATCGACTTCTAAGTTTTGACTGCTGCGAGGAGAACCTACATATACACATCTCTCCGCATACGCGCGATTGGACCCCGAAAAGACATTAGCTTACAAGACGCTGGTTACCTCCTTACTTGGATCCTCAAAACGAAACACCGAAATCGCCTTACTGCGTCGATCGGCGGTGTATGATGCAAACCACTTGATTGTGACGAGCTTCTTCCAGGAAACACATCGAGGGCGATTATACCGGTGCGGTTCCGCTCTGCTGACTCCATCTCACTTCACTCCTCTTCTGTAAACGTAAGTGATGAATAACCTCTCTCGTTCATCAATGCAACAAACATGACCAACTGACAGAGTGCAGCTTTCACAGCTGAGGAAGTGCACGTAAGGCGCATTATCAGCCTCACGAGAGTACGACACGTCTCAACACACTAAATCAACAACTGCTTCGTAATGTTGAACCCAGACATCGAGATCAAGTACCCGCTGGGTAGCAGACCCGCTATATCTTTTCTTCCTGCACTCATTGTGGGGTCATACATTGTCAGCCTCATTGGTGCTTTCACAACTGTAGAGTTACTACATCGGAGAGTTTCAGGAGCAGGATGGCGGTCGTGGTATATTCTGATCTTACATCGTTGCACAACAACCACTAACTCCACTTTAGGGTACAAGTAGGAGGCTGCGCAGTTTCGTTCGGACTGGTGGCTATCTGGTGTATGCATTTCGTCGGTAACCGGGCGATCGTGCTCGGTGACGGAGAAGAAGAGATTCAACTCTACTACAGTTCGACTTACACCGCTGTATCGGCTGTCCTACCGGTGGTCGTCATGTTCTTGGGACTATCGGCTGCGGATAAGTTCTACAAAGGAAGCAAAGGATCTCTCGTTCGGTTCGCATCACTGGGCGTATGCGGTGTCTGTGGAGGAGCGGCTGTCACAGAAATGCATTACCTGGGAAATAACGGCACTACCAACTACCGCATCATCCTGAGCTGGCCACACGTCGTTGGAGCCGCATCAATCGCTGTGGGAGCTTGTCTCATCTCGTTCAGTCTCTTCTTCCACTGGAACAAGCATTGGATGAACAACGTCTGGCGACGAATCGTTGTGGCCGTCGTACTCGCTTTGGCCGTGTGCGGCATGCACTGGACTGCCGCAGCTGGTACCTGGTATGAGATCCGCGGCTACCACGACGGACCTGGCCAAGAGAGGAACACTAACCTTATCATCTCTCTATGCCTGGTAAGTCATTCACTCTACGGAACCCACGCATTGCTAATCGAGAATCAGTGCCTGAGCGCGTGTGCTGTATGCTTCCTTCTCGGCTTCATCAAGCAGCGTCAACGTCGATTGGAAAAGAACAGAGCTCAACAGGTCGTTCTTGCCATAGCCACGTTCGATCCCGAAGGAAGACTGCTCGTCAGTCAAAGCGGACTGATGCCATGTCAGACAATCACCCACCAGTTCCACCAAAGAACATTTGACGACGAATTCAACACATCGCATCCTGTGTTCCAGTGGATCTTTAGGGTATCGCGCAACTGGACCGGCATTTCCGATCTCATCCCCACGATGCGAGAGCATCTACAGGCGACAGGATACCTCCAAGCGCCCACTCACGGAAGCAACAGCCGATCATCTCTGGAAGCCGATGACGATATTAGCTACTCAGCTACATTTCGGGAGCTGTTCTGCGTCACAGCGCACGAGATTGCGCAGACACTTGATACGAGCCTGCAGAATCTTGGAAATCTTTATGAGGAGGTCTTGACAACGGGTACCGTGATGAACCGCGCAATCTGGACAGGCAACTACGGTAACAAGACCATCGTGGCTGCAGACGTAGCGACAAAGGACCTAGAAGCTGGAGCGGTCAACCCCATCCTATTCGGAAGAGGTCAGATGCTTGTACTTACAAAGAAGGTCGACACCATCGAGGCACATCGGCTACACAACCTTGGATACGGATTCGCGAGTGTCGAGCAAGTCAGTGATCATCTGGCCCGCAGCCTGCAAATACCGCGCGATGATCTAGAGAACCTCGTTGGACGCCTACAAGCTTTCAGCGAGAGGCAGCTATCCCTTCCCAAGAAAGGCACCTACATCGGATCCTTCCTTGTGCAGCCCAAACCCGGTATGCGAGGCCTGGACGTCATCGTACCGCGAGCTACACCTGGCCGCATCCCGATGGTGAAGCTGAGCAGCGACGAGCTCGACAGTCGGCAGCTGAACATCCTCACGACCTTCAACGGTTGCAGTCTAGACGACTGTTTGGTGCGCATCAACAAGCGGACGGCGACCGACTCGGAGGACGATCTTTTCCTCGATAAGTTCCGCAACAGGATCATGGAACTTCTGCGAGACTGCCCCGAAGAAACGCTTCATCGTTCAGTATTTTCATCGCAGCAGATTGACATGATGCACGGTCAGACCGAGTCCAGCCAGGCCACGCTTTTTGCTTTCTGCGGCATCAAGGAGATTTACGTGCAGTCGCTGCAAAGCCTGACACTGAAGACGATTCCACTCTCCTTCTTCCAAACGTACCTGAGGTCACAGCCAGGATGCGCCGACCACGCGATACTGGCGCAGAAGAACCACAAGGAATTTAGCAGCCTCCGACGCGTACCCTCCATTGCGAAGATGCCACCCAGCAGCCGCGGCGGCAAATGGACTCGCGGTTTACGTTCGAAGCGATCAAACTCAACAGAGCTGAGCTGGCAGCAAGCAGACACGTGTTCGGAGAAGGGTCTGGTCAACTGCACCACGCATTCTCAAGCTGAGCCTTCGTCGCATCCATGGGGAGGCATCATGGTCACTTCGACCCAGAATATCCATGTGGACGAGACCAAGGCGGGCGCGAATGTAGAGCTCCACGATCTTGGTGTTCGCGCCAATGTTGGTATGGCGGAGACGGAGCAACAGACATTGGCAGACCGACTCATGTCGATTACGACTGCATTCCGTGACCCGCACGCGATTCGCCCGCCGGGCTACCACGGTATCCGGAAGTAGACAGCGTTTATCGGTGGGATGGTGTCTTTTTCACAACTATTTCTTTTGCAGCATTTCTGGCGTTGGGGTTGCTGGAATTGGAATACCCTTCATAATGATATGCGATGACACAACGAGGGACATTCACGATACATGGGGTGGCGTTTGGAATCTGGAGCTGCTTCAGGGCTTTGACAAAAAAGTGTAAAGCTTGTAATATGTATATTATGTATAGAGAAGAAATAAGAAGATGTGCTGAAGAAGGACAAGATGATGCACATGTGAAGGCCACAGGCGTCCGATAACGCAGGCCGGCCCGCAGCGTGGGAGGCTTGGCGAATGACGCTCATCTGAACTTTCTATGCCCCACGCGCGAACTACCCCAAAAACATTGACTCAACTCCGGCTGCAGGCCATTGCGACAGTCTAGCGAGTGCTGAAACCCTCTCACAGCATAACTTCATCCGCATCTCAATTGAACCCTCCAACGACCCACCGCAATCGCCTTCCACCCGTCGCGACCAGCCCGCCTTCGCGGCCCCTCCACAATGTCCTCACCCACCACCACCACACCAACCCACAAACTCACCCCCCTCGCAACCCTTACACCGCCCTCCAACTCGCGAACCTGGCAATCCGCGCCGCATCCCTCCCTCCCCATCGTCGCAACCGCGTGCTCCGACCGCAGCGTCCGCGTCTACAGCTTAACCTCCTTCACGCTCCTACATTCTATAACGGGTGGGCATAAGCGTAGCGTGCGGACTGTATCTTGGAAACCAAATACACGTGGGCAGAGTGTTCTTGCGACTGGGAGTTTTGATAGTAGTGCTGGGATATGGCGGAGGGAAGAAAATGGTGGAGGACGCGAAGAGGACTTTACAGGAAGAAGAATCGGTGCTGGCGGTGAGGATAGTGATGGAGATGAACGCGACGACGCAGACGACTACCAGTTCTCCTGCATCCTCGACGGCCACGAATCCGAAATCAAATGCTTGGCTTGGAGTCCCTCAGGCCAGTACCTAGCGACGTGCTCCCGCGACAAGAGCGTGTGGATATGGGAGGAGCTCGAAGACGATAACTTTGAAACCGTGGCTGTGCTGCAGGAACATGATGGTGATGTTAAGAGCGTGGCGTGGCACCCGGAAGAGGATTTGTTAGTGTCTACGAGTTATGATGATACGGTGAGGTTGTACAAGGAGGATGCGGATGATTGGGTTCAGGTGGCGTGCATTGAGGGGCATGCGAAGACGGTTTGGTGGGCGGAGTTTGAGGGGAGTGGGATGAATACCAAAGACTGGAGGAAGGATATATCAAGCACATCTAACACATCGGATGCATCACAACTGCAACGAGCGGAGTATATCACGGAGTTGGAACGATCGGGACCGCGACTCGCGACGTGCTCGGACGACTGCACGGTTCGCATATGGCGCCGGAAAGCGAAAGAAGGAGATGACAACGCGAGTAATAAGACGGGCGTCCCTAGTATCATCCGCTCGGCGGCTATCGACGAGGAATGGTATCAGGATGCGGTGCTACCGCAGGTTCACGAACGCGCTATTTACTCGGTTTCTTGGAGTCGCAGGACGGGTATGATTGTTAGTGCGGGGAGTGATGGGAAGGTTATTGTTTATAAGGAGAGGTGGAGGGGGCAGGCTGGTGGTGCCGGGGGTAATGTGGACGGGGAGGAGATGGATGTTGATGGCGCACAGGCAGGGGGATTGACGGAGTGGGTGGTTGTTGCGGAACTGTTTTCTGGTCATGATGTCTTTGAGATTAATCATGTTTGTTGGGCGAAGAGGGCGGATAAGGGGAGGAGGGGCGAGGAGGAGGAGGTTGTGCTTACGACGGGGGATGATGGGGAGGTGAGGGTTTGGGTGGTGGATGAGGTGGATGCGGAGAAGGTGTGAGAAGAGAGAAAGATGAAGTCAACATGAGAGAGTCTTGAGCATATCTGCAGTATCCTTGAAGAATGGATGATGGAATCAGGCTTCATGTATATAGTTGTGCATGCTTGGATGCGGTTGTCTCAATGATGGCAATCGCAACTTCAGTACTCTGCTCCTTCAATGTTCATCACCATCAGCATCACGACTAGTACAATGTCTATTTCAGGGCCAATAGACCTCAACATCTGAGTACTTCGACGTAAAGGGATGATGACACGTTCTCAGATCTAGCACAGGGTCCAGAAGTTGGCAGGCCCCTGTCACATGCGAATCATCCAAATGCGAGGAATCAGGATGGGAAATGCCACACGTGGGCCATGTTGAAGCTCCCAACCAGTCCGCTCGCGTCAAGAGCGTGTGGCGCAGGGAGCGTTGGGCGGACTGGCGTCATGCCAAGGTGCCGATCAGATCAGGATTCAAGGAAGCGCGAGAATTTACGGACGGCAGCTAGACGCAATCTACGCGTGTCCAACATTATACTAGCCACGCCGTCACCGTCTATCCACTGTCTATCTACTGTCTCACCGTCTCTGCTGTGTGCGTCTGCGATGCTGTGCAAGGCCGTCGTCACTTCCTCACCCATCTAATTGGCGCTTGCGCATAATTGCCCCGACCTCGACCGTTATCACCCGCGTGTTCCCCCATATCTGGGCACTCCTACTCTCCCACCTACAGACCACTCCGCCCTCTCAACATAGTTTTTGAGTTTGCACGTGCAGCGTAATTGCCCTCGACCCCACGCCTATGCCGCCAAAACGAAAGCGGTCCACCACTGTATCTTCGGTCAAGAAAGACGCCATGGACGCTGTGCAGCCCTCATCGCGCGACGCCTCGGACGAGGGTGCCGAGGACCCTGTTCTCCAGGCCGTCGCCTCCAAGAAGGAGCGCCAGGCCGATGCTAATGGCACCACCACCAAGCGGGTCCGCGTTAAGAGCGCCCACGGCGACGAGGATACCGACGAGGATGAGCGCGTGAGCAAGAAGAGTCGGCGCACGTCATCGCTCGCTGGTGACGACCACGGCGAGGGTGGTGAAGCCGGCAGCATGCGCATGGAGCCTCCACCCAAAGCTGGTCTCGTCGACCCCGTAGGCTACAAGACGAACCCGCCGCCAGAGGGACGCCCCGTCAGAATATACGCAGACGGTGTTTTCGATCTCTTCCACATTGGACACATGCGCGCCCTGCAGCAGGCCAAGACGGCCTTCCCCAACGTCCAGCTTATAGTTGGCGTTACCGGTAACAAGGAGACACATAAGCGCAAGGGTCTTACCGTACTGTCGGCGCGAGAGCGTGCTGAGAGTGTGCGCCATTGCAAATGGGTCGACGAGGTCATCGAGGACTGCCCGTGGATCGTGACCGCCGAGTTTCTGTTGAAGCACAACATTGACTACGTCGCCCACGACGACCTTCCCTATGGCGCAGACGAGGGTGACGATATCTACGGCCCGATCAAGGAGCGAGGCATGTTCCTCGTCACCCAAAGAACTGAGGGTCTCAGCACAACGGGTATCATCACAAAGTAAGCCTCTCCACCCATATTCCACTTCCCCATACTAACACACCCCAGAATCGTCCGCGACTACGACCAATACATCGACCGCCAACTCAAACGCGGCACTTCCCGCAAGGAACTCAACGTCTCCTGGCTCAAGAAGAACGAGCTCGACGTCAAGCGCACCATGGCCGAGCTCCGCGACAGCATCAAAGCAAACTGGACAACCACCGGCCAGGAACTCAGCAAAGACTTCCGCCAATTCTGGCAATCGAGTCGCCCTGCATCCCCCGCCCGCACACCCACGCGCGAGCAGTCGCAGGCGGAAACCATGGAAGCAGCGACCGTTGCTCGTTCTCCTTCTGCGATTTCGCGACTCAGTCACCTTGATATTCCGAGGGCGAATAACACGAGGGAAAGTAGCGAGTTTGCCGCTGGGTATAATTTGGGGTTGATTGGTGGTGTGAGGTCTTGGGTACGTTGTCTCCATCTCCATAACCCTGCATAACAGCAAACCTGCGGATGAGAAGAATTGAGAGAATGAGTTTACTAACAAGATAATCAGATGGCACGCTCCCGCCGCAACCTAAACGACAGCCGCCCGCAATCCCCCATCGACGACAGCTCCGACGAACAGGAAGCTAGGAGTCCCCAACAACATAAAGGAGAGCAGCAACAGGAAGTCACCCGTGGTCGTACGGGTAAACAGACGAAGAGCGAGCCGGCTATGGATACTGCGGCTTAGGATGCTGTGAATCGGTACCTGTATTAGGGCTTTCGAACCGGAGGCAAACGTCTGCCTGAAGCGGTAGTCGGGTCGACGTTTTCTTCTGACCTAGCAAGCAAGCACCACATACCTTGTGCGACCGCCGACGGATTGTGTATACGTGGCCAGGTGGGATAGCCGTTGCACGATGAAAAACGTACATTATCATAATACTTATTTTCCTTGTTATGGAATACTGGCTCAGCCACCTTCTTCCGTCTTTTCCTGTGCGACATGGTTCCATTTTTAACTCTTCTAAGTATCTTCTTTGACTAACTCTCCGCCTAAGATCTACATGCGCAGCGGACTAGAAGGCAGCGACTGCGCCTACTTTTTCCAATAGCGACTGACAAGTGACAACGGGTTCGATGGGATGGATCGATACTCAGTGACTACGCCTCCGTCTTCCGATGAACAACGAAACTTCAGTGCCTGCTTTGCTGTTGGTCAAACGACAATGATTGGGAACTGGCCAAACGAGTCGTGTGCTGTGCTTGTTACACTAGGCAATCGTTGGCCAGTTTACCATTCGTCTCGCGTATCTTTGATTGAAAGCGTTGAGGCAGTGTTGAAAGAAGATGGCTTGCTATGTGAACATGTATACATGGAGGAGATATGTACCTGACTTGGTGAGGAAGTTATACGCTAACCCTCGATCGAAACTCCCAGCGCAATCTACGACGGACGGACGGAGAAGGAGGAGTCATCACGCACAGCACGGTCGATACAGAGTTCTGGATCCGAGGGAGAGGTGGTACATGCATATCAAGACCAACACAACACAAGTCCCCATCAAGCATCACTGCTCAACCAACGACCACCAAGTAGGACCCTGAAGCTGGATCTGAAGTCACCCCAAATTTCCACGACGACAGATGTGTATCATAACCTTCACAACTCACCCTCATTGCGCCTGTCCTCCAGCCCCCTCGTCCCCATACATCCGCCTGTGTCCCTACGCCCGCTCGCTCAACCCGATCAGAGCGTGTCCCGTAGGCGCGAGGTTGAGCCAGACGATGTGGGTTGAGGGCGAGTGTAGCTGGTGTAGGCAGTGTGGGAGGGAGGGGGTGAGGGAGGAGAGGGTTAGGGGGAGGAGAGAGAGGGATAGGGAAATGGGAGGGAGGGGGGATGGGGATGGGGATGGTGGGAGGGGGAGGTTTGTGAGATGGGGGTCTTGAGAGGCTGAGTTGGTGGATTAGGAAGGAGGATTGGAGGGGGAGTGAGAAGGAATGAGGCGGAGTGGACGAGGGGGATGTGATAGGGCGGGCAGATTCATAGAGGTAGAGGACGGGAAAGATTTAGGGGTGGGACGGACGATAGATCCTACGTGTGGAAAGATTCTCGAACAAAAGATAGTATGGTGCGCGCCGTTGGCTCATACCGAGCTCAGTCTTGTCTCGCACTGATCATTGAAGTGGCAACTTTTGGGAGATGACGAAGAAAAGTGTGCGCCGTTGACTCAGAATTGGGTCATGGTCTTGTTTCGCGCGGGTTATTGAAGCAGGAAACACCCCAGAGACGCACGAAAGTAGAGTATGCGCATCTGATCCAGACTATGGCGTGATCGTATCTCGTGCTCGTTATTGGAGTCGTCCATTGGGCACGGGATGATCGCAATACACCTAGTTTTGACATGTTTTGTCAAACTGAAAACTCTTCAAAGATGAGCAAGAACACCGTCATAACGAGGAACATGTCCGTGGATATCCCATGAATACCCCATGAAGTGGCTTGCTTCGTCGTTTCTAATCACTGTGTTGTCGTAGTGAAGCTGACGCAAGACGACACGTTGTCGCTGTTGAGAAACTTTTTCCTTCATAATCGCAACGCAACGCGGGGTTTGCGAGGTTTACGTGTCGACGTGACTGGACCGGGATGTAGAGTCGAAGTGAGGCATGATGGCTGTTCGGCACTTTGGGAGTGGTGCCTGACGATGGCGAAATGATCTTCCAGGATACTACAATACCAACGAGCCTTCCCTGCGCTTACGTCGGGACCTGCATTATCGACAAAACACCACATGACGGGCGGAGGACGTCTGCGAACATGTTCAAGTCCTTCGACTTTCAACGCGACAACCACTCAGCGTGCGCCGGGCGAGAGGGAGAATTAGTCCGACCCAACGAGAGTGCATCGTGTGACATCGCGACTTCCTAAGCGCAGCAGCAGGCGCGGTTCTGCCTCAGAACCACACCGGCGTCTCCAGCCCTACTATAGTATAGATAAATGGGGCCCTCCATGCTCCCGTTTTTCTAGATGCTCTTGGTCCCACCCAGACTCGCTGCACGCGGTATAGATCGCCTCACACCCGCGATGTGATATACGACCAGCGCCTCTCCACACCCAGGGCCCTCCTTACTAGCAGCCCCTCCGTTGTCCGCCCGTCACCAGCCGTCGCTTATCTGTCATACCATGAGAGGCTGCTCTGCTTTTGCCCATCACGATCTGCGACACACGAACCGGACAGGTCTTCTGAACGAGTCGGTCCTTGGGCGCTCGGCAGTTTGTCGGAGCGGCAAGGCTGCTAGATGAAGCGGTTGCGTTTCAGTCGCCTTTGGATCCCGCGCCCGCACGCCAGGACGTCCGACGATCGCACTTGTGGACGACTCATGATGGCATCGAAGCGGCCAGGAACACGACTGACGTCGGTGGGTCGCATGTCTAGAAGCTGGACACGACGTGCGACGCGTCTGCTTGCCATC